TGCTCCAATCATATAATAAAATGCTTTATGTGCTCGTTACTTATCGATACTTTGTGCGATACAACGATTTTTTTAGTCTTTGTGTACTTTCAACTGTCTCGTGCCTCCTATGCTTGTTTTTAAATTTTATAAATTACAATGTACAACACAATTGAGGAAATGGTAAACAAATTAATTCGTCTGATTTCTCTTTCACAGGACTGAATTACAGAATTCCCCCTTACAATCGCGTTTCGTCTTTCATTTGTCATTGTTTCCCACCGTACGTCTTTAGTCCCCTTTCCCTTTCTTTGGCTCATTACTAAATTACAGAAGTTTATAAGAATTTCCATTTTAATAGGATGGAGAAAGTAAAAATAAAATTTTGTTTTTTGTACGAATTCAGTAAGAAGAAAAATATTTGTTAACAATTGACAATGCTATTATCACTGTAATACTTTGTCAGAAATGATTCACTTCCAATCACACCAGAACAATTTAGTTTCTTATTGAAGTACAGCCTGGTAGAAATCATTTTTAACTTGTAATCGATTGCACAATAATTTACCAACTAAGAATATTAGCGAATTTACAAATTATAAGTCCTAACTTGTAAACATTCGTTGCACAAACAATTTTTACAATTTTACAAGTTACAAGTTAAATCACTAATAATATTATTATAACATTATACAAATGTTCATTGCATAATGAATACGATTTTACAAGTTATACGAATTTACTTGTAACATTTTCATAAGCCTTGAAAACCCGATAATTTTGAAGAAAACAAAATTTTTATTGCCTCTATTAATTTCAGATATTTTAGTAATGATTGACAATTTTCTGTATTCATTATTTCTTGTAAAATTATCCCAATAATAAGCTTCTGCACTGGTTGATCTTCATGCTTACTGATTTTTAATAAAAGAAAGCACACTTAGCTATATTATTCAGTAATTCAATTCTATCATGGTGTATGTACTAGGGCTACTACTTTTACTCGGGTACCCGTGAGATACCCGGGTGAACCAAAATTACGCGAGTACTCGTGAGATACCCGGGTAATAAAAAATGACCGGGCAACCCGGGTATCCATGAGATATCAAAATGTACGAGATAGTCGAGAATCTTGATTCGAGAGTCGACCATTTTTCAGCCATTTTCGATTGATATCGGCAATGAACGGAATAAACTGAAGAAATATAGTGTTATTAAGCTCGTCATGACACTCATTTTTTATACTTACAGTTTTTTTGTCCAATCATTATCATTGGAGATAAAAATTATAAATCAAAAATTTCTCTCCGTCCGAAGTAAATATTTTTTGAAACATAAATTGAGATAACTTGAGCAAATATTAACGGATTGTTATGACACTTAAAACATAACTTCCGAAAATTGTAGCGAAGCCGTGAACTGCATGCACAAAACCCTTATCTAAAAACATGTAATAATATTTAATTACAAAGTAATACCGGGTAGAAACTATGTGTTTTAACATTCGCCGATAAAAAGTATCGAGGCAATTTTGAGGAATATTAATTTTTTCTTAATATGCCTACAAGGAAGATTTTCATAAATTTTCACACTGATTAATAAATTATTGTAAAAGATATGGCGATATACATATATGGTACATATGCATCTCGCGCGGCACTAACAGCCACGTACTATACTGCATATGTCAGCACGGCATCTGTTGAAAGAAAAGTGTGCAGGAATTAAGAGGCAGACAAAAAGCAATTGAAAAAGGGAAGATAGAAAAAAAAAAGACAAATGTTATAAAAGAACAGAAACACATGATGTAGATACCTTACAAACATTTACGCGTATAAATATTTGGAATATAATATTGCAATATTCTTTTGTAATCAGTAATCATATAATAATGAGTAAGTCATGTTTTTGCAATGTAACGTGGGTGCTAATTGTAAGTAGCGCAGTATATGCGGCTGTGATCGACTCCCGAATCGAAATTCTCGACTGTCTCATATGTATATTCGGATATCTTATGGATACCCGGGTGTCTCACGAGTACCCGGGTATCTTATAAAGTCACAGCTCTAGTAATAGAAAGAAATTTTCACTCCCGGAGCAATTGTTACACCCTGAACCGATACAATGTATGTATTGAAACATCAACAAACTTTGTCATACTACTGTCGCAATCGTTTTTTCAGGTTCCTGTATTATGTGTTCGACGTACAATATTTAACCCTTTAATCGGAAATATTACTTTTCAAAAACATTGAACTCATACTATTTCCTTGTTTTTTTATTTTATACTTTCAGGTTTGTTTTTCGGTTCTTTGTTTCTTCCATTACACAACGTTATGGAATTTTCTTTCGTGGCGTAAAAAACATATCGTACTTCGACATAGGCGTAGCTTGGGGAGGGTTACTTACCCTCCCTACGAAATAGTTGGATTTTGCCTCCCCCTCTCCCCGCCCCTGACTGATAATACGACTACGCCTATGACTTCGAATGTTTCATTTCATTTGGCAAAACGTATGCAAGCGTTAATTTGTTGATGTAATTGTTCAATTATAGCGAATGTTTTTGACGGTATTTTGTATTTCTTTGTACGCCGTCGTGAGCTATCGTTCGAGTGACCGTTCTATTTTTGCGGAACTTGCCTGGTAAAGGGTTAAGTAACGCTATCGATTAGAAATTGATAGTTTCGATTCTTATTCAATACGTACTGTGATATGATTTTATTCGTCGACGTAACTCCATTCGTGATTCGTGCATACGCAGGAGACATTGCTTGAATATGATAGTATAATTTACTGCTAATGCTGTCTGCGGTGGGAAGTGGATTTTGTGATTCTTTGCACAATTTTCAGCCTCTCTATAAGTCATACTACGCTTGCTTGAGCGTAAATTTTAATGTCTGAATTTATTTTTCTTGAAGTGAACAATTCAGTGACGTAAAGAATATATCCTGTCTAATTATAATATCTAATCTCTTTATAAAATGTATATTAAAAACCTTTTGAAGTTGAAAAAACTGATTTTGATCGACGAACCGACATTCAGTAATTTTAACTTCTTAATCTTTTCAAGAAGGGTGGTAGTTTAGTGATTTATTTTTTATGAAATTTGTTAACTTCTGGAACAAACGTAAACAGTATTGACAATTATTTACCTGTAACTGTGTGAAAGGGGTTTGAAAGTTATTTGTATTATTCAGTTATTTGTTTTTGAGTTAGTTGATAGTCAATTGACTGTTTGAATGAAATTTATGTTCAGACCGTAACTTTATTGACGGTAATCACAAAGACAAAGGGATTCATTAACTCGATCAAAAGACAATGGAAGCTATCGTAATTTTTAATATCTTTCATTTGCTTCATTTCATTGTATCACCGAAATATTTACTGCAACACAATCACCGTCACAAATATATTTAGAATTCCGTTTCTTTTTGTCAATTAATTGCTTAAAGGACAATATTATCGTCAGAATAATATATTTCGATAAAAAATTAAGATTTTGTTGCTTGTGGAATCTATAAAGAATTTCTAATTTATGGTTTCGCGAACATTAATCATTTAGGCTATCACTGTCATCTTCATTGGATGATTTTCTGCGTGTAACGTTCACTAACAGTGCCATATTACATAACGATGAGCACATAAATTAATAAGGAAACGTTTCTTTCTGGAGGCATACGCGTAAAACGACATCCGGCAAAAACCATGAGAAAACGTTGCTACCACAGACGAATGACGCAAACATACTGATTTAGTATTTATTATATTCACTGATTGAATTGTATTTCCGGTTCATACAAACACTGGTTGGCGACTAATCATTAAGGAGTACCATATAAATTTTTTTCCTTTTTTCTGCTTTTTATTTGCACGACCACTTCTCCGTTTCGTTTTATTACTCTTCTTAGTACACTGCATTTGTCACAACCATATCTGCGAATCACGATAATGTCTGAACTATCGTTATAAGTGAACAAAATCAGAAAATTAGAATGTATAATTTCTATTTCTGATACAAATTGGTTAACAGGTGATATTTTAACCGTTTTGAGGCGTCACTCCGGATAAGATTTTAATAGTGACAAAAATTAAATTTATAATATTTTTGTAGAAATACGAAAAATTTCGTAAATGCAAAATGTTACAAATACAGTATCACAATATTCTGAATGTTACAGCGTGTATTTTTTATTTAAAACGCGATGACACGACAAATTGTAGTAAACAATCCAACATAAAGAACAGAGAATTGAAATGAAAATAAATAACAAGGAATAATTATGGTTTCCTTAACTGAAACCCATGTGACAGTTTCGAATCAGGTTGAGATCAAAATTGTAATTAACCCCTTAAGTGACTAACCCGTGACTATCACGGGCTGGCGTCTGGCGTGACGCACACAGGTTGCTCAGCCCGCAACTGTCTCGGGCTCATATATTTCGCTTGTGCACAACCCTATGACTTTATAATTTTTGCCCGCTTCTTATCGTACTTGTTTTGTACTATCATAAAAGCATGCAACTGATTTTTTCACGTTGCTGTAAGTAAAGGGAAGAAAATGATTTCTTTCAAACTTTCTTTTTCCTTCAAACGAAAAGAAGGCGAAACCATATCAACAATGTATTATATAAAACAATCCGGCAAAAAAAGCAATTTTTTTGCAAACATTTTAATCTCGGATTATGTACAGTGGCTCACATTGAAAATCGTCCACAATCTTTCGTTCTTTAATTTTGTGTATAGAATGTAATATACAGTGGTACCTCGACATACGAGTTTAATTCGTTCCGTAACCTTGCTCGTATGTCAAATTGCTCGTATCTCAAAGCAATTTTCCCCGTTGAAATTAATTGAAATGCCATTAATCCGTTCCAGCTCCCAAAACACCACCTCAGTTGTTTTTGTTAAGTGTTTTTGAATAAGAAAAATGTATTTACAAGAAGAAACATTTATTTATAAATAACAAATACATATTCTATAAAAACATAATAAAAGAAAAAGTGAAGTGCTTACGGAAGCGCTTAATTTTCGTCACTGTTCTTCGCTTTTTTAGTCACGCTTTGCTCATTTTCACCTGCAGATCGTTTAAAAAAACTGTCCAAGGAAGTTTGTTTCTTCCTCCCTTTCAGGATATTGCAGAAATGAGTTAGGCAAGTTTCGTTGAACAACTCCGATGCACGACCAGTTGCAACTTTTTCGGGGTGATTTTTATCCACGAACTCTACAACTTTCTCCCACATTCCCAAGATCTCCTTTATATCTCTTGTAGAGATAACCTCCTCCATCTCTGGCTCCTCTTCAAAACTCATTTTTCGTTGAACCACCGTATGCTGCTGCGAATGTAGATCGTGTAACTCCTCGGTTGTCAGCTCCTGAGACTGTTCCTCGACGAGTTCGTTCACATCTCTCTTATCCACCTCCAGACCCATGGATTTTCCCAGAGAAACAATCTCCTCTACCACTGACACTTCGGATTCCAATCCTTCGAAGGCCCTTTCAGCTACAGCCTCAGGCCACAGCTTCTTCCATGCAGAGGTTAAGGTCCTCGTTGTAACACCCAGCCAGGCCTGATCAATAATTCTTAGGCATATCACGATGTTAAAGTGGTCCTTCCAGAACTCTCGAAGGGTAAGGTTTGTGTTCTCCGTCACCTCAAAGCAGCGCCGAAAAATGTGCTTGGTGTACAACTTGCTGATCCATGGGCTGCAGGATAGGAGTGGTGTTGGGTGGTAGGTAGAGAACATTTATAAACTTGAACTCTTCGAGTAAATCATCTTCGAGATTTGGTGGGTGAGCAGGGACATTGTCGAGGACGAGAAGGGCTTGCATGGGTAAGTTGTTTTCCTGTAGATATTTTTTAACAGAAGGGCCAAACACCAGGTTTATCCACTCCACAAAGAATTTCCTGGTAACCCACGCCTTCGGATTTGCCCTCCACATAACTTGCAGTTTTTCTTTTAAAATCTTATGTGACTTAAAGGCTCTGGGATTTTCCGAATGGTATACTAGCAGAGGCTTGATTTTGCAGTCGCCACTCGCATTGGCGCAAAGTGCTAGAGTTAATCTATCCTTCATGGGTTTGTGACCTGGCATCGTCTTCTCCTCTGCCGTTATGTAAGTCCTATTCGGCATCCTTTTCCAGAAAAGCCCTGTCTCGTCACAGTTGAAGACTTGCTGGGGGATGTATCCTTTGGCTTCTATCAGTTCGGAAAACGTTTTGATGTAAACCTCAGCTGCCTTCACATCCGAACTCGATTCCAAAGTTGTCAAACCAGCCCCGACTGGCTTTAAACGAGTCTTCCGATTCCTTGTTTGTGGAAGTGTGTGGGATCTGCTTCAGCAAATCACCGTAAATCGCTCGTGCCTTCTCACATATGATGCTTTGTGTTAAGGTTCCTCCTTGAAGCTGCTTCTCTGTCACCCACACCATCAGTAGTTTCCCCATCTTCTCATGGAGAGAGGTCCGGAGCTTAGAAATTATTGTAACGCCCTTAGCTGGCGTTATACCCTTTATCAACTCCTTCTGTTTAAGCATAGTACATATCATTGATGTGCTACGCCCTTACATCCTCGCCAAGTCAATTACTCGCACACCTTGCTCATGTTTTTCTATGATTTCACGCTTTAATTCAATAGACATCATCTTCTTCTTCGGACCCATGGTTATAAAAATAAATGTGATAATGTTTTCTAAATGTACAAAAAGCAAAAAACGCGAACCCAAGGGACACGAGGGAAACAAGCACACAGACTGAGGTCTAGTCTGATACCCACGGGAGGCATGGAGAGGGTAAGCGCTCGCGAGAAAATCCCACGATTCTGGCATCACTGGCTGAGGTGGGAGAAACTGTTAACGTAGCGGTGTAGTATGCGATTCCTCGTATCTCAAATCTTGCTCTCATCTCAAAGCAAAATATCGCTCGCTCGGCGGCTCGTATCTCAAAACACTCGTATATTAGAGCACTCGTATATCGAGGTACCACTGTACAAGGTGTCACCTAACGTATGCACCTCAAATATCTTTGTTGTTTTTAAAGATACATCAAACGTCTTAAGGACAAAATTGAATGGTTCAACGTTGCTCACACGATACCAAAAAATTTTTGTTTCTTGTCATTTTTTTAGAGATGTCACAGTCACCTTAATTTTTTTAAATGGAATCACCGTTTTTTAAACACCTACAATGATAGTCCCTTTCATTAGGAATTCAGTGACTATAATTATTCAAGGTCATTTAAGGTCACGGACAAAGAGAACGTATAAGATTTAAAATATGAAAGCAGAATACGTTGGTCACGAGCGAGACTTGTACTAAACATACTAAGGTCGTTCAATATTATTGAATGTTTTCAAAAACAGTCTCTAGCCGATGACGCTGCGATTTATTTACTATCAGTATGTTTCTAAACGCGATTCCGCTATATCTTATTCAATGACTGAAAGGTGTGATATGATAACGGTTGACTATGAATGTAGACAGAATGCAGTACCGGCCCGATTGCTTTATGAAGAAAGGTACCCTAAGCGAAATACTCCTTCTAGGCAGACTTTGATTAATATCTACAAGTTGTTTAGAACTACTGGTAGTGTAGATGTAAGAAAGCGTAAACGCAGGAATCCCACGACTAATGAAGACAATGAAATTAATATTGTAGCAGTTATAGCTGTCAATCCACATGTGAGTTCGAGACAAATTGTCCGAGAAGCAGATATAAGTTTTTTCTGTCCGTGACCTTGAATAATTGTAGTCACTGAATTCTTAATGAAAGGCACTATCATTGTAGGTGTTTAAAAAAGGGTGATTCCATTTTAAAAAATGAAGGTGACCTTTATGTCTTGACATAAAAACAAAAATTTGTTTGGTATCGTGTAAACCCTTTGAACCATTCAACTTTGTCCTTAAGATATTTGGCGTATCTTTGAAAACAACAAAGAAATTTGAGGTGCAAACGTTAGCTGACTCACCCTGTACAGTAATATCTCGATAAGTGCGACGTACTGGAGTCCACTTCAGAGTATTCGTGGTAAGGAGCAAAGGTTTTCAGCCTATCATAAATTTGTTTTTTGCCCGAAGCCGAGCCCCTGCTTAGCTTCTGTTTACTCTGTTTTGATTGGTTCCACCGGGGGACTCGCCCAATAGTGGGAATAACGCAATTGCTTGTGTCGCATTCATCGAGAAATCAGTGTATAAAGATCGATCTATTTATCGATTTTATCTAATAGATTAAAAGCTGTAGAATATAGTAGAGGCCATCCGACAAAATATTAGATTTACATATTTTTCAAATTAATGTTTAAGTTTTATAAATAGAAACTGGTGGACGACTTTTAATGTGACCATCTTTACTGTACATACTACCATTATAATATCGTTCCTTCATCCTTATTCCATAAATTCTTTTATTTCCTAATTATATTTTATAACAATAAGTAAATAAAATTTCTATATTGCTTATAAACATCTTGTATTTGTATTTAGTGAATTTCACAATGGCAAATAAAGAGCGAAGATAGTGGACGATTTTCAGTGTGAGTCACTGTATGTATCTTGTTTTCAAATCCATACACGATTACATTTTTAATGATATTTGTAATTAACATTATGTTCAAATTAAATATTCTGTACGCTATCTTACACGTATTTTTGTATATTTTAAAATAAAAAGTTACTATTTCCCTCTTATTTCTACTTTTCTTATCTTAGAATAACTTAACTCACCATTTAATAAAAGGAAAAGGTAAGCATATTTTGGACAACTTTTTTCAATTTCACGGGTCTCTTAAGTGGTTAACACTGATATTAGTGGAATCAAGTTTCTTTAACCATTTTTTGTAGAATTGAGCAATTCATTCACAAATACTCTTATGTGAAACAAAATAAAACTTCCTAAGAATAATACGTAACCCCTGATACCGAAGTAGCGTAAGACTGCATTAGAAGTCCATAGAAAATGAAATATTAATCAATCAGGTTGAAATTATCTAATCATTTGTAGCACACTTGTTTAAACAAAACACTAACCACTGTCTAGCAAATTCTGAAAAGAATAAGCGAAACCTTGTCTAAAAAATTCGTTCGAAGATCAAGTTATAAAAAAATTCCAAATGAACGTCTTACCTCTTCACTATGTAGCACTAGTCAGACATTCCCTCCACTTATTTCTAGATTTTCTCCTTGTGCTTTCACCTGCGGTTCTTTTTCTTTTTCCTTTTCCTTCTCCTTTTCCTTCTGCTGTTCGTTTTCCTTCTCTTTTTGCACCTCCTTGACATTTTCCTCTACTTTCTCGCTTTCCTTCTTCTTCTCCTTATCCTCCTTCACCTTTTCTTGTTCTTTCACTTCCCCCATCTCCTTTTCCTTTTCTTTTTCCTTCTTTTCCTTCTCTCTTTCTTTCTCCCGTTCCCTCTCCCGACCCCTCTCTCTTTCCGCTTTTCTCTCCTTCAGGATCTCCGCCCTGCGTGCCCTGTGCAAGCTCCCAGACGGGAATGTTGAATCCTCAACCGCGGCAGCTGCGGCCGCGCTCGCTCCTCGCTCCACGGCTGTCTGCTCAATAATTCACTTGACTGTATTTTTCGATATGTTCACCATCTAAACTCGTAGCGTCGAGAATAAGCGTTATACGATGGGGGTCATTCAATAAGTAAAGGGACAAAAAGCTATAGTTCAAATAGCACCTGAATATGAAGTATGACCGCTCAGAATCATAAGTTTGTATCCCTGTCATTAGTTCAAAACAGTTGCCTGATAAATATTTTGGTATACATAATCTGTGTCACTCATTCAACATTGACAAGTTCTCACGAAAATTTCATTAGGAAAGAGCAAGGTCCAATAATCAGATTTCTGGTTTCTGAGGGTGTAAGACCATCTGGAGTTCACTCCGGAATGGTTAGGTAAAACAGCATAAGTTGTATAAGCCGTGAAAATTTTTACAAATGGGTTGATTAGTTTAAAAATGACCGATTAGAATTTCACCAATAAGCAATGTATATGACAATCAATGAAAGTTACAAATGCAGGTCTGAAAGCTTGCATTAACGAACTTATTCAAAGCGACAGGTGAATTACAGTAGAAAAAAATCGTTGAAAATTGTAATGTAAAAGTATCGTTAAAGTATGTGCAAAAAACCAGACTTCGTGTGTGTAGAAAACTCAAACAACGTTATTCCATTGAAGAAGATGACTTTTTGATAGGAAGAGTGAATCCATCATTATAAGTCGGAATCCAAACAATGAAGAAGTGAAAATCAATGTGCAAAACTGACTCCGACAACAAGAGAAAGAATACTTTGGTGCTGGCATAGGAAAGCTAGTATATAGAACGAATGGACAAATGCATAAATGTACCAGGAGGTTATGTCGAAAATTAAATATCTTATGGGATTCACTGAATAAACCATACAAAAATAACAGTCATTTGTCTCTTTACTTATTGGACGACCTTCGTAAATTGGCAAGGTAGCTTAGATACATACTTTCAATATGAAACTGGCCGTCGAACTCTTGGCGATGGGACTCTGCGCCGAGGACGGATGAGAGTGTCCGTGGCCATGGGTACTGAAGTATCCACCGGCCTTCGGTTTCAGGTGGCGATTATACATCTGCATATGCACGATCTTCATGTACTCGATTTGCGCCGCTAGATTCTGAATCTCCTCCTGTATTGAACACAATGCATACTTAATGGTAACCCACATAGGAGGTAATGATATTAAGCTACACTAGCAATGTTACATATAATAATTAGCGTCGACTAGTATTAATTATTGGGGTACATAGATCGAATAGTTGAAGACACATTGACTCTAGGTCGATAACACGTGTGAAGACATACAGGGTATTGGGTTACTTGTGTCAGAAACTTTAATGGGTGCTTCTATATGTTAAAATAAAACGAAAATCAGGAATAACGAAGTTGTATTGGAGACGTCGTTTTCAAGTTATTAGCAGTTAGAAATTCGGGCCAAAAGCGTCTGAAAGTAGGCAATCTGCGTACAAACGGTAAATGTAGGGCACGATAGTACCGACACGTACACTGAATCGCCATAAAAAATACAGTATTCATACACCGCCGATTTTTGCTTTTAATTGTTAATATTATTTCAGGAGTAATTGTAAGTTAAAAGTATTTATTACCTCAGTATTATACTAAAAATAGTAGGTACTGTCAATTAAAAATAAGAAATAGTGGTTTATGAATACCTCGTTCAGCCGCTGTAATTATTTATTTTTCAATACTTCGAAGGGCAGATATATACGTCACATTTTTAGTCAAGTTATCTGACGATTTTTAGCATTAGTAGGCCAGTTTAAGTGCCCCCGAAGTTGCCAAATCCCGTACTGCAAATTGGTGCAGTCTCTGAGAGATGGTGATGTAATATAATGATCCTACTTCATGGATTAATTTACTTTGAATTCTGAATGAATGCAATAAAAGCTAACGAAGATATGTAATACAATTATTATATAACTTTAGAATCATGAAAAGTACAATTTTTGACGTTATTTTAGGGCGCAATTTGGAAATATATTATAGTATCCAAGGAACTCAACCACAGTAATCAAATCATCAATAAATAATGAAAACTACTTGGTAAACAAATTTGGCCTGGTTTTTTTATATAATGTAAAAAACATTTTAGCGTCCGCAGGTAAGCATAGTAGATAAGAATGGTCAGTATATGTGTATACAGAATAAAAAAAATTTGTAACTAAACAATTAATCACTATCAAACATTTGTACAATTTCTTTATTTATTTTACTGAATAGAATCGACCCTTTGAAAATGTCTCGCGATTATAGAAGTACCTTTTCTGTCTAATTGGAAATATATGAAGTAGAAAATCGTAAAAATAATTTAAATTCTGAATTTAATACCTTAAGTTCTTCGTTTTCTTGAATTAAATCTGTGGTTTCCTCAGGTAGCAGGCCAGCTCCATTTAACGAAAAGCTTGCTGTAACACCGCGTGCTCTTGCTCGGCTATCCCATTGATCGCCATGACCTCGTAACACCCGAAACACCTAAAATTGTGTAAGATATCGCAAACATCAGAAAAAACTTTTATGGAAATATCTATGTAATAAAATCTTTATTCGAAAGAAAACTTATTTTTAATTGGTTCAACGTATATCATCAAAAAATAAGGTGTTTAAGGTCATGTGAAATACCTTGGGTCCAAATACGACAAATATTGTTACAGAAGTGGAAAGTTGTGTGCGTAAGAATCCCAGCAAATATTTGATATCCGGCCCGGCATGAGGAAAAATGAAAACGCTGAAAAATTCAGAGAATTTACATTTCAAGTTTACAGTGTTATTTCTGTACAGTGGCTTCAAAAACTATTTCCAAAATGTATGCTTTGCATGTTATAATTTCAAAAAATACAAATACGTAAATATTCATCTGAAGATTTTTGTTGAGAATTTATTGTTTGTTACTATAATGTGTCTAATGAATATGAAACGATTACTTTTTCGACACAAGAATTTAACAACGATAACATTAAAACTCCATAGAAATGGATTACTGTCACATATAAATAATTACACATAATACAATACAAATAAAACAATAACAATAAATCTGAATACAGAATATTTTTATACATGAGTAACAATATTTGCATTTTACAAGATGATTTTATCGAGAACTTCAAAGCTTTTAATTTTAGAAGTTTTCAATTCTTTAAACTTTTTGAAGCCACCATGTACTTAAGATATATAGGATCATACTGAATGGCGATCATGGTTATATTCACAGCTGCAATGTTGTAAATTGCGTAGCTTATTAGACGGGCCTCGTTGAAAAGACTTTCTGCATTACGAACGTTGTAACACACCTTAATACCCCATGCAAGGAACTTAATTTCTCCTGTAAACAAACAATTGCGGATGAAACAGTTTATTACAATCTACTTACAATAAAACGATATTAACACTATGACGACCGATGATATATGATTATACTTTTTAGATATTGAATATTATTGAATTCTTTTACATACATAGCAAAAAGTATATTTTGTTGATATTTGACAAAAACAGCCGGCCACTGGTGAAAGTTACTCGCGGAACTAGCCACTCGTCGTAGTGTTAAATACATATGTTCATGTAGAATAAACAGTTATTTAACCCTTTCAGACCTGGTAACCACATTTGCGTACATGAAGTTTCTTACAATTTCACACAAAGCCTTAAATACAGTGTATAGAAGATTCATATTTTTCTTATAAATTTGAATTTTTTCATGATCGGAATGAGTAGGTGTACTGAATTCAGAATTGAATAACAAACCCTTTTTTAAAAACGAAAATGAAATTTTTTAAGCAAAATATCATTTAAATAGTCTACCGAGTTAAAATGTGTAACCAAATTTTTTTTTTACTTTTAAATGAAAATTCAGGTCTGAAAGGATTAAGGGACATTCTCATTAAAACTCTTAAAAATTAGATGATTTTTTGGATTTTTTCTGTACAAAAGTATACAACAAGTAGTGGTGCTACTTATTCGATGCCGCTCAGTGCATTGCTGCAAAAAGATAAGTCGTTGATAGTAGCCAACATTAGTCGACGTAGAAGTATCTGAAGTCAAAATACCAAATAAATTGTTGAGTATTATATGAAGGACTAACGTATCAGCTTTTGATCATAAAGAAAGGCTACAACAATTTTTTACTATATGTTGTACAGTTTTGTACAGAAAAAATCCTAATAGTTACCTATTTTTTTAGCGTCTTAATGAGAAAGTCCCCTTAAAGATTCGATTTTACGGTCAACAATTTTATAAAGCATTATTACCAATTGCTAAACTATGATCCCACCAATTGAACGAACATTGATAAAACTTTAGACCATAGTTGTCCGCTATCACTTCGGCGTATGGCGGTGCACTTAGCGTCCATGTGCCAAGGTAAATTAACATAACTAACAATATCGGAACCATCCACTGCAACAGCTGTTTGTCCGTGAGTTTGACTTTGTGTGCGCTTTTGACACGGTAAGTGAGCGAAACTCTGTAGAAAAATGGTTTGAAATTTTATTCTAAATCTATAGGGTGTACTCGAAACAGCGGAACAAGTTAGTAAGAACTGTTGAATGAAATTTCTTCATATTAGGCTCCGTTGTCGAAATAAAACGAATGAATGTACAGAAAACAACTTTTTCTTTAATTCGTATTTTAGCTAATTATAAGGTATTTTTATTCAATGTACAAATAAGTAATCCATTAAATTTTGCCTTTGACATTCATTTTTTAAGAAAGCAAAAGGTTGTACTACTTCAGTGATATGCATCCTTATTCGATATTATGTTTCGTCATTTTTATGAAAAAAGTGCTGACAATTGTTCTACATTCCAATTATATTACAACTTTATTTCAATAAAATGGTGGATTATTTATTGGTATATCTAATAAATTGTGCAGGGTGTTCTGCTTAAAACAGATCACCTAAATATCTTCTCTATCTGTGATAATAAGAGAAATATTTTTTACATAATGCAAATGGTATCAAGAGATGAATCAGATGGTGGAAAAAATTATATAAGTGAATTTAAAATTTTTAAATTAAATTTTTTTATAGGTAAATTTAAAATGTTTAGAGTTCAAGGTCATTTCAAGATCATACTATTATACATAGATAAACGCATTATAATGATGCCTATACATACAACAGTTGTGATCTTGAAAGAATCATTAAAAAATGACACTTATAAAAAATTTTTGCCGCCATTCGATTCGTCTTTAGAAACCATTTAAATTACGTATGATCACAGATCGAGAAGATATTTAGGTGGCCTGTGTGTGCACTTATGTATGTTGAGAATCTGGAATGTTTCCATTGTGTCTTTAACGGTAACTTTTATATTTAACAATAAATGAGAAGTAGAAATTATTTCCGTAACCTTTAAAAAAACTTTTCCGTTGAAAAAGAAAAATGAAACATTTTTCTATAAGTTCACCTGAAGGTGACTATATCATGCAAGAGGAATTTGTTCTTCGACCAGATTATCGCGACAGTAAACCTGCCACATAGTTTAAAAAAAAAAACTTCTACAACCTTAATATTTCGAAAAATATGTTCGTTAAAGAAAAGTGTCAGTAACTTTTTTCATGTAACAATATTGTATCATTTAAAGTGACAGAGACATTTCGATACATGTAAAACTATGCGTGTAACGTGTACAAAATTTCATTTTCATATTACTTTTACACTCCTTACCGCCATGTTTTCATCAACAACGCCGTGTAAGAAATACAGAAGCCAAGATGTCTCGTCCACTTCGTGGCGATACACGTGTACATATCCAAAACAGGAAATATGGCGGCCATCTGAAGGGGAAACAAAGCATCGAGTCTAATACACAATCGTGTATTATTAACGCATTTTAACAAGGTAGAAGAACAGTTGCAAGAAATTCTGTACGTACTTCGAGGTACATAATAGCGCAACCTAACAGCGTGATGGACAGAAATATCGGTGAAGCAACCTTGAACACTTTGAGCTTGCGATGTTTATACATATATGCCACCAACACGATGGTACCGAACACACAGAATATGGAAAATGATAGAAGGGTGATTCTGAAAGTATACATTCGATTAGTTTCTTCTGTTCGAAATAAGATCGGTACGTTTATACGTTTATTTTTAGAAATGAACATTTACCGTGAAATTCTTTATTTGAGACATGTATTCGTTGTAAATGTAAAATTTTGAGATATGCATTTTAATTGAATTTTGGAAACGTGTTATTATAGTTTTTATTATCTGCAAAACCCGACATATCGTTTAAGTAATAAATATGACAAATAAACGAAGAATATTAACACCTTAATGGTTTTATTCTTCTCCTAATTTATAAATTATTTGATTTGATTGTAATTACTTCGAAGTCTCTATTTTATGCTCCCCGGATTACGAAATAAGCTGGGTATATTTGTTTCCAGAAACGAATATTTACCGTTATATTTTTCACTCAAGAAATTCAGTCACCTTAAATGTAAAATTTTGCGATATGCAATCCTCGTGAACTGTATCAGATTATACTTCTTTAAACTTGTTATTATAGTTTTTATTATCTGCGAACTTCTACAGCCAATTCTTTAACTGACAACCTAATATATAAAAAATATTAGAAGATTAATGATTTTAATCTTTTACTAATTTGTAAATTAATGAATTTGTATGTCTTTACTTGAACATCTCTATTTTGCGTAGCTTGTATCGATCGCTACCTCGCATTTCCTTTGATCTTACGTAATGGAAAAATTGTGACATTTACAGCTCGCTCTGTATAACGGATGTATCCAATGTATGTGTAATTAACGTTAATTACTTTCACATTAAACAAGTGTGTTTATTTTCGGAGAAATAATTACAGTAACGCCTCCTATATACGAACACCTATTATCCGAATATGTACCTTAATATTCGAACATTGTGTTACCTCTTCTTCTCCTGTTGCAAATATGTAGTGCTTATACAGGGTGTCTCAAAATAGGTGTAATCCTTGAAAGTAGTGATTCGTGGGGTGATTCGAAACAACTTTTTGCTTAGCGAAATAATTCTCTAAAGCTTTGTTAACGAGATATTAACGAAAAATCCCGACCAATCAGAACGCGAGTCAGCCGGTTGAGCTCCCGCGGTAGCGTTGCCTACGCGATGCGCTTGTACTACGAACACGCAAATCGGCATGCATCGGAGAAAACTGCGTAGAATAGCAAATAAAAAAGACTTAACAAATAAAATCGAACTTTTTTCATTTTCATTCGTTGATTTTTCATTTTTATGTGGGCTCGTTAAAAAAGCTTCGAAGAACATTTTCGCTAAGGAATAAGTTTGAAATTATTCCAGAAATCACCCCTTTCAAGAACTTATACCTATTTTGGAACACCCGTTCCAAGTCAGTAATGTTGAAAAATTTTTTTAATTTAGCAGCCCAAAAGATGTGGGATCCATAAATATTTAAATTAACTATACATTTTCTTGATCACTGTTTAAATAAACTAACTTCAGTATCAGAAAATTATTTTATCCGAACACTCACCGTAAGTTGGGGTAACATTGACTCAGTTAGAGTAACTTTGTCTCAAAACAAATAATTATCATTTTCGATTTTATAGTTCTGCGAATTGTTAAATTTTTTAGATAAAAAGGTATTTCACGTAAAAATACCTGCAAACGAGCTGCAAAACCGAAAATGATGATTTTCTGACTTTGGTACAGTCATCCCTGCCTGACAATGAGTCAGAGTTACCCCAATTTATGGTATGTCTCCTTATTAGTTCCGATACGGGAGGCTCTGCTGTATGTATATAGGTATTGCTTTGGTTAAACTCAACGTAATGCATAGTTCCATTTTCCCTCAATAATTAACACTAGAACTACTAAACCTGTCAAATCGACGGCTTGAAGATTTCTTAATTTACGATTACTGAAAGTATAATAGAAGTTTTGACAGAATTTATATTAGCTTTTAATTTACAATAATTTCATGTAATTTTTTTTTATTTACACCCTGTGAAAGAGTCTTAGATTTTTATTAACACTCTGTATATTCCGTATATTACTATATGTATTATATAATTTAATGTAAAGGTTACGTTTAGAGAATGCAGCTTCGATGACCTTGACTTTGACATATGTTGTTAAGGACACTCTTCTGAATAACCCTCATGAAGTTTTAGCCGTCGATCGTTTTTTATTAAAAAGTTATTAGCAAATAAATTTTGCATCAAATACCAATTATGCATTCTAACCACTTACTCTAATCACTTCCGATCAGTATAATGCTGCAGTGTTGGTTAGACGCAGTTCAAGAAAAAAACTTCATTCAAAGTTGGTTGGGGACAATTACTTTTTTTCTTGAACTGTCTCTAACCAACTCCGACAGGTCATTTTACTTACCAATACTAGTAAAATACGATATTAAACTTTTTTTTGCTAATAACTTTTTACTCAGAAAAATGTCCTGTATAACATATGGCAAGCTCAAAGTCATCGGAGCTGCACCCCCTAAACATAACTTTTACCGAATTAATATAATATACATTCAACGCTGGTAGTTCTAGGGTTAATTTCAGTTATTCTCAGTATGTTATTATGTCAGTCTGAACAAGTAATTTTTCATTAAATAATTAAGACACATTTTTCATACCTAAATGGCCAATGGTAAGTAGCTAAGCACGGTTCGGGCCCCTTGCACATGGCACAACCGGGCGCGCAACGTAAGCAACGAAATACCTTTGCATAGGAGTCGCTCACGTTCCCTTGCATCTCTTTCCATGCGGCTGAAAATTCGTTACGTTCGTTGTCATTTCGATAGTGTAACGAGTAAATTTCTGATGCTGGGATAATTTAACCGACCTTCAACGAGAATCCCATCAAAGCCAGATCGATGTTGACTCGGGCTGTAATAGCCCTTCCGACATTTACACACGTACGCACCCTTAGCCCATCTACTACCGACGCCACCATTATATGGAGTTCCATATTCACACTGAAAGTCATATTCAATGTTATTCCCAGCGTCTATAAGTGCAGGATTTAAAATGAAAATTAACTAAGTTGCCCGAAGATTAACTACAGTGTCGGAACATGTATTTATACACCGGTGATTGTTATGATCGATTGACAGTTACTGTTTTCATTGTAACACCAGATTAGAAATTATTTCCGCTAGGCTACACCTTAATTATTTAACGGTGAAATTTTGTTCTGGAAATGTGTATCTGCGTGTGTAATTAAAATCAAGTGATGATGAGTATACTCGTCAACCGCAGAGTAAATGTACTTACTATAAATTTGAAGTAAATTGTAACAAAACTACAAATATATACGAGTTAGTTTATTTAAAAAACCAACAATTTTATTGTTCTAAATTTACTAATATAACAAATATTATTAATACAAACATAAGAAATTAAAGACAATAAGAAAAATTCATATACATGAAAATCTTACACCATTTGATCCCTTTATTCCAATAACAGAAATATATTTTTCCATATTTACTAAAATTGCAATTTTTATAACAACAGGTAATTTATTTTGTCACGTGACGAATATACTCATCATTATCTAAAATCTAATTATTTCAGTGACAATATCATTGTCAATTGTTAATAAGGTTCAGTGGTATCTGAATATTTTTTTCCCCCACTGTATGAATTTTTCGATACGGTCGTAATAAGAATGAAGTGTCAGTTTTATTATAAATAAAGTAAAACAATTGAGGAATTATGTCCACTGTTCTCTATAATCACGTTGCCAATTCCGAATAGTCAAACTATATGGAGGAGTTATTCTACACATAAATTAATAATTTTTTAAAATTTGAAGAATAATATTTCTGTATCCATGTATTTCAAATTGCGTATACTTTAACTTCGATCATATCTGTACTTCTTCATTTATGAAAATATGCGTAACAATTTACGATAAATGATAATAGTAAGTAGTAGATTGAGTTCAAGTTGGTTATTTAACTATCGTAACTGTTTACGATAGCTTCATCAAATTGCTTGCATTAAGTATAATTTTTAAAATGTACAAACTAATTACCTGCGTGGTGTCGTTATGACATTTATGAGTACCCTTAAACGATGCTATCTGATTGCTCAGAATCTCATTTTCGTATTGCTGCGATGACCCATCGCACTGGTTCACTTCCAGACCGCTTATATCAATATCCACGCTTAGAAATTCTCGAACCCTTAGCAAAGTGGAATTCCATTCAGATATGTGTAATTATACTTGTATGAAATAATGTAACGGGTGACATATAACTGGTGGTACAATCGGATAGGGGGTGATTCTATATGAAAAAATAAGTCGAAAATATACAGTAAATTGTACTCATTTGAGATTTTTAATTTGACACGCGTGTATTCGTCACGGTAATAAGTACAAACTGAATGCAATGAACAGACGCGCTAGCCAAGTCCTATTCAATAGCACGTGTATCCAGAAAATTTTCAAAATCGAAAACGAAGTCTGAAATGAAAAAACTTTACTGCATATTTTCAACTTACTTTTTGAGATAGAATTAACCTCTATCAAATTCTACTATCAGTTACATGACACCTTGTATGAATAATTACATTTCTTTTCGATTATTTATACGGTGTCAGGTCGGGTAGAAAGTGATTCTATAAGAAAAAATAAGTCCAAAAAAAAGGAATAAAATTTTTTCGGATGTTGCTTTGTTTCCAAGATAATCAAATTTGAAAAGTTTTTCATACTTTGCGAGTCATTTACATAAATTTAAGAAGGTCTTGACGCTGGATGTATGAACATCACGCTAAATTAAAAACGACATTACTTTCCTAACAAACAAATACGTTCTTCATTATTAAAATAAATAAATAAATAGCTAAAACTTGAACAGAAATTGATACTTACATACGAATAAAATTACACTATGTAATGGTGCAAGATCAGTGTATTTGTGTACCATCCACTTTTCTACCCTGGCCTATACAGGGTGGTAAGAACAAAGGGTTCAGAAATTCAAGCGTACTCGCCAAATGGAGAGAAAAAGTCTTAAGAAATATTGGTCGAAAAAGTATTATTTTCAACGTTATAAACAATCTTTTATTTCGGTTAAAGCGAGTTGCTTGCTCGCCTCAGAAAACTGAACAGTAAAAATACAGTGATTCCTGGATGAATGCGACTCAAGCAACGGCGTTATTCTCACCACTGAGGGAGTCCCCCTCTAGAATCAATTAAAACCGAGGAAACATAAACTAAGCAGAGGCTCGGCTTCAGGCAAAAAACAAATTTACAAGGGGCTGCAAAACCTTTCTGCCTTGCCGTTAATGCTCCTTCATGGAGACATTACTGTAGTACGCTGTACCGTTAAGTACGTAATTTTGTGATACGAAGGTATCAAACGTGTGTGGAAATGGGAGGATGACATGTAGAGATTCTTCTACATATAATCGCGAAAAGAAGAAATGGTAAAATAATCCATTATTTTTACACAGCACAATAGTTCCCGAAACAAGCAAGCTAGTCGTTTTAACCGAAAGAAAAATTATTTAGAACTTTGAAAATATTAATTTTTCTACCTGTGGTTATCAGGACTTCTTTCCTCTGTTTGGCGAGTGCTATCTACCCTTAAACCTCTATCGTCACACTTCCTTTTTTAAACGTAATTGTCACACATAGGGTCTATTTGACCTAAGCCGGTATTCACTCAGCTGTTGTTTAAAAATTAATTATTAAATTAAGTCGCAAAAAATTCTGAGATGAAATTTGAACATTGTAGAATAATTTTCATGTTTGAAAATCAACATAACTACTACATGGAGCCAGTAGTACCATTTTTCATGATGCGTCAAAAACATTTTACATCAAAGTCACATTCTGGCACTGATGCCAGAATCGTGAGATTTTCACACGAGCGCATACCCTCTCCATGCCTCCCGTGGGTATTCTACACAAGCATAATCTAGCCTGTTTAAGAGCTCAGCCCCCACTACGTCCTACTCGGCGACTCCCCAACCAAGCGTTCTCTACCTCTGTCCGTGTGCACTCTGCTTCGGGTGTTTTCGGCAAAAGTCCTACGTCACACGTTTATGACGCGACGGTCGAGTGGCCCAAGCCAGGTAAAAAATCCCAAATTCCAAGCAACCTAAAGTTTACGTCCTAAACGCCGAGAGCTGTATGATTTCTCTCACGCGCTCATGATGAAGACCCCGTCCGAAACCCCGTTCGAATCCCGATGCGACAGTTTTACTTTTTATTTTTGATTATTGTATAATTTCATTTTGTAATATCCCAGTAAAATAAAAACTTCGAAAATATTGATTTAAGAAGCATTTTAAAAAAATGGGAGATGTATTTCTTCCTGTTTAATATTTAAATTTTATATTACACAAATACATATTCTCTTATATATACACAAATTATTCTTACAATTAGATGTTACCTTTATTCTAACCATTGCAGTACATACATATGAAAACATTGGAAGAAAAATCAATTACATTAATATGTTACGTACAGTAAAATGAAAGCTTTGAAGATATTAATTTCAGAAGCATTTTCAAAATTAGATTTTTTTGTTAAGCTGGTTCACGCATGTACATTTTTTTAGATTTGATGTCGGTGAGCATGGATAATATGCATGGAAATACAACACATCGTCTTTTCTTTTTGTCCTCTAAATAATGTCACAAGTGTTCCGTCCTCAGTATGGACTTTCTTTATTCACCGTATATTAATTTCTTTGGGCGGCTAAAATGCTTCTTTCAGAATCTGGGAAATTCCTAACACCCCCTTTTGAAATAATCGGACAATAATGTATTCGGCGCGTGTATAATTGCATCTAATTCAAAGTCCCTTTATGTTAAAATAGTTTCTAAGAATTCAATACCGTCCTACTTTCCGGTAATAAAGACATTTCCAAATTACGTGTTACAATGAGCCACCGTGCAGCCTCGTTATTGCCTCCATTTACGATAGGCTTGCCCGCGTTTCGAGCGTTTCGATCAGATACGTCTCACCCTAAGTACCTGCTCATACATATACGCGCTTTATGGTCGTATTCGGTAGTAGTACTATTATTTCAATTGCGGTTTAAACTATGTGCATACTTCTTTTCAGACATAAAAAAGTAAAGGACCACTAACATCACATGTGCATGAAACAACTGCAACGGTTCTCAGAAACGCGAAATATATCATTAATACAAAAATCGAATTTTGAAAATGCTTCTCAAATTAATATCTTCGAAGCTATTATTTTACTGACATATTACAAAGTGAAATTATACAATAATTAAAAATAAAAACTAAAACGGTCGCATCGGGATATGAGCGGGGTCTTCATCATGAACGAGCGCGTGAGAGAAATCATGCTGTTCTCGGCGTCGGTCCTTTACTTTTCTATGTATATCTGAGAAGAAGTATGCATATAGTTTAAACCGCAATTAGAATAATAGTACTACTACCAAACATGACAATGAAGCGTTTCTCAAATTAATCTCTTCCAAGCTTTCATTTTACTGTACGTAACATATTAATGTGATGGATTTTTCTTCCAATGTTTTCATATGTATGTACTGCAATAGTTAGAATGAAGGTAACATCTAATTGTAAGAATAATTTGTGTATAGTATATATAAGAGAATATGTATTTGTGAAATATAAAATTTAAATATTAAAGAGGAATAAATACATCTCCCATTTTTTTAAAATGCTTCTTAAATTAATATTTTTGAACCTTTTATTTTACTGACAAATTACAAACTAAAATTACACAATAATTAAAAATAAAAAGTAAAACCGTCGCATCGGGATTTACACGGGGTTTTGGACGGGGTCTTCGTCATGAACGCGTTAGAGAATTCATGCTGCTCTCAATTCTCGGCGTTTAGATTTTAGATTGCTTGGGATTTGGGATTTTTTACCTGGCTTGGGCCACTCGCCCGTCGCGTCGTAAACGTGTGACGTAGGACTTTGCTGAGAACGAGAACACCCGAAGCAGAGCGCACACGGACAGAGGTAGAAAACGCTTGCGTTGGTGAGTCGACGAGTAGGACGTAGTGGGGGCAGAGCTCACGGACAGGCTAGAATATGCTTGTGTAGAATACCCACGGGAGGCATGGAGAGGGTATGCGCTCGCGTAAAAATCTCACGATTCTGACTCAGTCAGTGATGCCAGAATCGTGGTACTGTTTACCCCCACCACTCTCCCACTCCGACGTACCATCGTCTCCCACTATGACGTCCCGGCTACCCGCACTTTACGTCCACCGTGCTGGCACACACAAGCATATCCAAGCCCTGTCCGTGTGCGCTGGCCGTCGAGAGACGGTGAGCTATATTTAGAAAAGAGTGGGGGTAAACCGTACCACGATTCTACCATCCTGCTGCCTTGGAAATCCTGTTCGAATATCACTGCGGCGAAAATTCACGTTCTCGACGCGATGCCCCGCAACCTAAGCGCGTGAGCAACAGTCA